GATGATCCCTTCAGGACCAGTGGTGTGAGTGGTGATATTAGGAGGGTAGAGGGAGGCTTGGCTGAAAAGGGAGAACTGATTACAAGGATCTACATGTAACCTCCTCCCTGGGGGACAGACAACAGAAAAGTGGGTAAAGGGAGACGTCAGACAGTGCAAGATATGACAAAATAGTAATTTATAAATTATCAAGGGTTTATGAGGGAGGGGGGAATGGGGAGGGAGGGGAAAAATGAGGAGCTGATGCCCGGGGACTGGGTGCAGAGCAGATGTTTTGAGAATGATGAGGGCAATGAATGTACAAATGTGCTTTACACAATTGATGTATATATGGATTGTGATAAGAGTTGTATGAGCCCCTAATAAAATGATTTTAAAAAAATACATCACAAAACAACAACAACAACAAAGTCCAGGAATCTTCACTGGGCTGACAGAGACTAAAGGAACGCCTGTTGAGCCTATCATCATAATACCCTTTGACCTTTGAACTGAAGCTATTTCTGTAGCTCACCTTTCAGTCAAATAATAAACTAGCATATAAAATAAGCCCTATCCCCTGCGGGTAATTTGCTCCTTAAACAATGAACTATCTGTGACCAAATGGTCAACAGTTACCCAAAAGCAAAGTCCAGACCTTTGAGATTAGGGAAGATCCCTTTGGACTTTTCCCCCAAACTACCCCCTTTAATAAACTCACTATTTCTTTTCAAACTTTCACAAAACTAAAAAAAAAAGCAAAGCTGAGACGGCAAGGAGAGGCAGGAAAGTTAGATGAATGGAAACAGAATGAACAGAATAGAACTAGTGACAATGCTGCCACATTGTGGAAATGATAACCAATGACAGAGGGTGAGGGGGGATGCCAGACAGTGTAAGACATAACAAAATAATAATAATTTATAAATTACCAAGGGTTCATGAGCGGAGGCAGGGAGAGGGGGGGAAAAGAGAAGCTGATACCAAGGGCTCAAGTAGAAAGCAAATGTCTTGAGAATGATGATGGCAACAAATGTACAAATGTGCTTGATACGATGGATGGATGGATGGATTGTGAAAAGAGTTGTACAAGCCCCCAATAAAATGATTTAGAAAAGAAAAAAACCCTGGTAAACGAGAATCTAATTTGCTGTGTAGATTTTCACCAGAAACACAATAAAATATTATTTTAAAAAAAGCAGTTCAACCACTTTGTCTTCCATTGACTTGTGGTGGGTCTCATAATGATCCGTGAAAGGTCAAAGGAAGACAGAGGTTGAACTGCATTTTTCGTGTGTTTGTTCGTTTGAAATAATATTTGACTGTGTTTTAGGAACCCTGGTGGTGTAGTAGGTTACATGTTGGGCTTCTAACCTCAAGATCAGTAGTTCAAAACCACAAGCCACTCTGCAGGAGAAAGGGGAGGCTTTCTAACTCCCATAAAGAATTCGGAAATGAGGCAGTGAGATCTCCTAAGCTTTGATCTAAGACCACCATTAAAAAAAAAAGAAAAAAAACTCCAAACACTATCCAGTTGATACCGATTCATGGAAATTCTATAGGGCATGGCAGAACTGTCCCTGTGGGGTTTTAAGGCTGTTCACTCTTCATGGGAGGAGAAAGTCCAGTACTTTATAGCATGTCTCAATTCAAGCCAGAGTCATTTCAACTGCTCACCAGTCAAGTGTGGCTAGGAAGACAAATGTTGACACAGCAAGTAAATACTGCAACTGCCTGAGCGTCTCCTTATACTCCAAAATCTAACCGCTCTTAAGAAGTGGACAAACAGTAGTTGGCACAGGGCCCCACCCCATCCCTTCCCATCCCATCTAAGGACAATTGGAAACCACCAACAATCTCCCCTCCACAGGCCCTGCAGTGACCAGCCCTCTGCTTGCTAGAGGCCACCAGCAGCCACCTTCCCGGTCACCTCACCTCTCCTCGTTGATGCCACACATGCGAATCCGGTCAGAACTGGTCCAGTTGTGCACGCCGCTGTAGAGCGGTGCCGTAGAGATCATGACAGCCACTCACCACCAGCTAGGACCTGCTGTGGCCACTCCCCCTGGGAAAAAGAAGACAAAAGAATCAGAACTCAGAACAGGGACAGCTGCCGCCAGCACCTTTTACCCAGAAATGAGCTCAAATAAAAGAAACTGCTGCATGAAGACACGAATGCCATCTAACGAGCCAGCCTGCAGTGGAAGGATGTCTTCCAAATGGGATGAGGGGACTCCAGCTTTCCAAGATAGAGGCAAGGCCACTGTTAATCCTTTAGGCTGCTTTTTAAAACTATCCTACAGAGTGAATATTTGAAGAAATCCCGTTAATGTCAGAGAAACGGGTTTCTTTTCTACTCATGTTTAGCTGGGGATCTGTCTCTCATCTACTCTAATCCATGGGTACTCAAGTAAGCAATGCAGCCAATTTAAGGTCTCTGGAGGGGACACATACTTTTTATAAGCCCGTCACAAACACCCAAAACCTTGTGCATCCCACCTAACCTGCTGTAAGGCTTCTGTCAGAGCAGATCCAATCTTCCGTGGACTAGTGGATCACAAGCAAACAAACAGCCAAAACTTGGTTCATCAACAACCACATGGTCTGGACTGTCCTTTCCTAGTAGTCTGGCAGCCCCATGCACTACTACCCCTCTCCCCAGCCAGCATCCAGCTCTTGCTGGTGATGACCACCACACAGTCAGGTCACCTTCTACAGAAAAGGAGGCAGCCAACAAAAGAGAGGCTTATCCAAAGAGCTTGCCATGTGAGCCTTACACTCTAGACTTAATTTATGAACTGGAATCCTTATTCATCAAAGCTCAGCTGAAAAGAACTCAGAGTTGATCAGAATTTTATGCTGTTCGCCACTTGCCAGAGAAAGAAACAAATCATCGTAAAACAGTCACATCAGGGATTTGTTCCATTTACATTGTATATCATCTTCAGAGACTGTCCCCATGAAACACACTATCCCTTAGCCTATATGTCAGTGCAGGCACCCTGGTGACACAGCAGGTCTAGCACTGGGCCACTAACTGCTAGGTAAGTGGTTCAAACCTACCAGGTGCTCTGAGGAAGAAAGACGAGGTTGTCTGCTCCCAGAAAGATTTATGGTCTTGAAAACACTAAGGAGTGGTTCAACTGCGTCCTTTGAGTTGCTATGAGTCAGACTCACCACAATAGCAGTGGGTTTGTGCTTGTATATCTGTTTGTTTTTTGGTATGTGTCAGCATTGTTCCACGCACTGCTGTGGATCTTCTCCATTCTATTTGTGACGCACAGCAGAACTGCCCAATCAGGTTTTCTAGGTAGTAATCCTTACAGGAGAAGATCATCAGATCTTTCTTGTGTGGAGCCTTGGGTGGATTCTAACTTCCAACCTTTCAGTTAGCAGCAGAGCACTTAACAGTTACACCCCTAGGGCTCCTTCTTCTAAGCACTAGGGGGTTAACAATTTACACGAACCTAACTTCCTAGTAGGCTGAGACAATGAACATATGTAATCGTTTGATGTTCTGGGATGTGAGAAGGTGGTATTACACAGCTAAGGGGCCTAGGAATGTCCTAGAATGGTCCGTTGTGAGACGCCATCGAATCATCCCTTGACTCACGGTGACACCACACTCGATGCAATGCTGCTCAGTCTTACATCAGCTCCAAGGCTGGTAATGGAATGGGCCATTGTGATCCTAGGTTGCCTTTCAGAAGCTAAGGTCATTAGGATTTTCTCCTTGGTCCATCTGAGTCGGGAAACTCCACTGAAACCTGTTCAGTATCAAAGCAGCATGCAAACTTCCCCTGAGGGCTGGGTGGCAGTGGAGTCAAAGATACATCGAACCACCACTGCTCCCCATCCTGGGGGCAGGGACTCCTGATTTGAAAGAGGGTACATCAGGGGAGGCCTTGCTGAGAAAGTGACATTTAAGCCACTTAAAAGCAGTAAAGAAACGAGCCATGCTGCTATGTGAGAGAAGAAAACTCTAAGCCCAGGAAAACATTTCAGTGAAGGTTCTAAGGCAGGAGAGCACACGCCATGTTCAAGGAAGAGCCAGGAGGTCACAGTGACTGGTGTACAGAAAGGAACATGTCAGAGGTAGAACCAGAGCAGAGAAATACTGACCCATTCTCTCCTTGGCCCTCATCCATACACATCTCTGTAGCATGGGATCCTGCTCCCCACTCACTCCTTTCCTTTATGCACTCCCCTCTTTTACAGACCCTGTGTCCTTTGGCATGTCTGGGCCTCTTGTCTGCTGTCACCTTCACTAGCCAATCTCGGTCTAGCCTCGTCTGTCCCAGAGGTCTGAGCATTCATTGAGGTCTGCTCCTTACCTCGTTCTCTGGTTCTCTGGCTCTCGTCACCACTGCCACCCTCTCTCATCTCTTCCTCTTTCCATTTTCTAGTTTCTTCCTACCCCTACCCACCTCTCTCTCCCGCCATCTCTTCCCTCAACCATGTCTTTATTTCCTTTTCTCTTTTGACTTATTGGTTGTTGTTGCTGTTGAGAATAGACAGAGGTGAGGATACACTGATTCATCCAGTTCTATAGGTACGATCAAGTGGTGTCCATCAGTTTCTTCACATTGTGCAAACAACCATTCTCCTCCTCCTTTGCTGAATTGGTCCTTCATCATTAACATTAGCCACTGAGCACCTACGGTTCCTATATCTCACTTTGCAAGCTGCTCTGCTCAGTGGGATCCCTTACATATCTCCTCTTACTTTTCTGTTTCTTCCTCCTCCCTACCATCCTCTTCTGCTGACTAGTCTTCTAGTCATCTCTCTTCCCCATTCTCTTTTTTCTCTATAGCTCTCTCTGCAGGTTCCTCTCCTTGAAACTTTCACCCCATCTATCTCTCTCTTCCCATTGCTCCTGACCTGCCATCTTACCTCCCCTATTCCCATCTAGTTCTCCTTCAGGGGGTCTCCTCTCTTCACTTCTCCCTCCCTCTCCTTCATCCTCCATCCTTTCCCCTCTACTCTGTACTTCTGCCTCTGCCTTCTCTCTCCCTCTCTGTAATTCCGTCTCCTTGTGTCTCTTGTTCCCGCCTGCTCTATCGGTTTAGGCCATGTCACCTGTCTCTCTACTCTATGGCTCTCTCCCATCCCCATCTCTCTCCTCCTGTGCATCAATGTCTGTCTTGCCCCTCCTCCCTCAGCTGGTGAGCTCCCCCTTTTATCACACCTGCTTTGTGCCCTAAATCATGACTCCCAATTCTGTCTTTGTAGCCCTCACCACCTCTCCTTAGGCCCAGACCAGAATTTCCGGCTGCCATGCTCTTATTGTTAACTGAAAATCTACCAAGCCCCCCAAACTCAACACATCTCAAATCTCCCTGATTATATGGCCCCATAAACTTGTTCATACCCTCTCATCCACAGGAAATTTCCTATCTTAGTTAATAGCATCACTATCCCCCTGCCCACAAATAATCAAAGGTCAAGACTTAATGGTGCTCTCCACAGCTTCTCCTTGTGCCCCTCCCTCTACTACTCCGATGCAGGCCCCCATCATCTCTCACCCAGAATATAATAGCTTCGAACTGAGCCCTCTGCCTCCAATTGCTGGATTCTAAAATCAATTCATCTTCTACAGCACCTGTTCGATCATGCCCCCCCACACCTTCTGCCTCAAAAGATTTCAAAAGCTTGTCCTCTTCCACCACCTCCCACCATGTCCCTGCCACCCCAGCTGCTGCCCCTTCCCTCAACCTATCATCACCTCAGTTTAAAATGCAGCTGTTTTTTCATCCTGAAATGGCCATTCCTGTGCCACCCCAAACCCCCTCCATCATCCTTCAAGACCTAGCTAAAACTTGATCAGGTCAGCTCTCCAGGCCCAGCCCCCCTCAAAGTTAACCCCTCTCTTGCTGGTTCTTCTCCCTGAATTCACACCTCTACGCCAGGGCAGGTTCGGATTCATGATTCTCCTCTGCAGTGTTGTCCTGGGATAGCTGGCTGAGATACACCCTGTCTTCTCCACTTAAACAATTCGCTACTTAAGGTGAGAGAGAGTGTCAGCCTTCTTAAAGTCTGGTTCCTTGAGCATCGATTACGTGTAACTAAGTACTCAGTAAATGTGTGTTATGTGGACCTGAGTTGGAAATGAGAACTGAGATGAAGACCTTGAGAAATTATAAGAAGAAAAACATCTTTCGTGCTAATGCAATACAAAGGGAACCCTGGTGGCGTAGCAGTTACTCATTGGACTCGATCTGCCAGGTCTGCAGTTCAAAACCATCAGCAGCTCTGATGGAGAAAGATTGGCTTTCTCCTCCCATTAAAGAATTCCAATCTCAGAAACATACAGGGGCAGTTCTACCCTGTCCTATAGGGCTGCTAGGAGTCAGCATTGATTCTGTGGCAGTGAATGTAATGTAATAAAGAGACAAAGTTCTGTGCTTCAATAGGAAAACAAAAAACTATGCAATGCCTATTGCACCTCTACAAGGGCTCCCTGATTTTAACCCAGTTAGTTCATTGTCCTTGAGTTATTTTGCACCTCTATGAATTACAGGTAACTGATGGCACTTGTCTTGTTCAGTAGAGTTCGGATGGACTTCGGTCCACATTACGGAAAACTCAATTCTGCCTACATTTACAACTCAATTCCTTTACACCATTAAAATTGGTGTTTCTGGAGGAGAAAACAATGGGACCGACAGTTTCAGGAGGACATGGGAGAGGGGGAGGGGGGGCGGAGGAAGTGGTGTTAACAAACCCAGGGACAAGGGAACAACAAGTGATCCAAATCGGTGATGAGGAGGGTGTAGGAGACCCGGTAGGGCGTGATCAAGGGTAATGTAACCAAGAGGAATTACTGAAACCCAAATGAAGGCTGAGCATGATAGTGGGACAAGAGGAAAGTAAAAGGAAATAGAGGAAAGAGCTAGGAGGCATAGGAGGCAAAGGGCATTTATAGAGGTCTAAATAAAGGCATGTACATATGTAAATATATTTATACCTGAGGATGTGGAAATAGATCTATGTGCATACATTTATAGGTTTAGTATTAAGGTAGCAGATTGACATTGGTCCTCCCTCAATGCAAGAACACTTTGT